TCTTCTGAGAATCTAACTTTAATTTTACAAAGTTGCAAAGTTGTTCAAAACAAAGTTACAGCTACAAATTTAAGTCAGTATTCAGTGAATCCTAATTTATTTCAAGTGAAATAAAAGTGTTTCAGCTAAAATATATGATAACAGCTTTGCATTATATAAAATAGTTCACAAATATAGCAGGGTTTATGAAAAAATTGGTTGGACCATGTCACTCAAAGTGTATTTAACGAGTGCCTCGTAACATTAAAAAGAGCACAAATACAGAATTATCTTCCCGTTTCAAGATATTGTACAGGAGAGCATTCATTTTCAAAACTCCAAAGAGTAACTAGCAAGGACTGTGAAAGTGTAGACTTTATCATTAACTATTTTAAAAATAGGAGAAAATGTCTTTTTTAACTTTAGATTTTTAAAACCATTTAAATATACCTCTTGCACTATGGGATCTTCATCATTTTTTTCTTAAAGTTTAAAAATATTGACAAAGCCTTCTCTTTAATTATACAAAAGTTTTTCTCTAAAACTTGAAAATATTTCATTTCCCCCCAACAAGACAGCCACTGTCACAGATGAATTTTTGCATGTTCTTCTGATTTTTGTGTTTTAGGTTTTTGCTTAAACAAACATCAATATTAATGATCAGTGATTGTTTTACCCTGACATATTTCTGAGAAAATGGAATTTATATTTTGAAGAGTGCATTCCAAAGAGCAGGGGTTGGAAGTGGACTTTTAGGGACATGACCCTTGATTTCAGAGTAATTTTCTCTTCTAAATTATTAAACCTTTGTAATTACAAGCACTGCCATAATTATGATTCAAAAATATCTTTAGAGGAGATAATAGGCACTTTCAGTTTGAATTAAATCAGGAAAATTTATCACATTGTGTTTTATTAATTTTCTTCATGTCCATCCATATATTCATGAAAATTTCTCAAATGCCTTCTAGGGTCACTTTCTTATTTAGTGAATAAACAGAAAAGTTTATAATTGTTAGAATACAAAAAAGAGCAAAGTCCAAAAACAGAGGTAAACTCAATGCTAAATCAGTAATGGGGGAAAAAATTCAATGTAGAATATCTAAAAATGAATAACATTATATATATGATATTCATACACATACACACCTTTTTATTTCATTGAGGTTTATTTTAGTATGACCAATTGACTTGAAAAGAGTTTAAAAAAAGAAGATGATCATAATACAGATCCCCTGGAATGTGATCTTTGACTGTTAATGAAGAAATTAAAGGAGGACATATTCATTTTGGAGTACCAAGCTAAATGTAGGTTAAAGTTCTCCATGAACAGAACTTACAATTTACATGGAAAGATGATCAAGTTTTATTACTGACACAACTAAAAAGAATTTTATGTCATAAAGAAGCTAGCCATTAAAAATTTTAAATGGTACTTAACTCACTCATCATTTGTAACCATTTACTATGTGCATTTTTGTTCTGCAAGCAAAACAGCAATCTCTGTCATAGAACTTCCATACTAGTTGAGGAAACAACACGAAAGAAGACAGGCAAATAAGATATCAAGAATGGCATTAAGTAATAAATGTTAAGTTTAAAAAGAAACTAAAAAAGAATGTATGAACTGGTATGGGCAAAAATATTTGTAGTTAATATGGTCAGGGAGGGTCTCATTGAGAAAATAACATTCTAGTAATATGACCCAAAAGATATCTAGAGGAAAAAAGAAAACATTTCAAGGAGAAGGCATGCAATCAGACTAATTCTAGGTGTTCAACTCTTCCAGAAAACATTCCTAAATCCTACTTGTCCCCTGATTGAGCTGGGTCCTGCTATGATTTGGGGGCTATCAAAGCTTTGTTCCCAGGGTGGGGCAAATCAGAAGTGGTAGAACCTATGTGATCTGGGGCTAATGGGAGGTCTTCAGGCCATTGAAAACATGCCCTGGAAGAGGACTGTGTGACCTAGGCTCCTTCCCCTTCTGCTGCTTAGACACCAGGAGAGCAGTGAGCTTTACCACATGCTCCCCATGGTTGCCATCTGGCATACCTCATAGGTCCACAGCAATAGGCCTGCCTGACCTTGGACTGGAACCTCCAACACTGTGAGCCAAATTAAACTTTTCCTCTTTATAAATTAATCACAGATATTTGTTATAGTAAAATAAAATAGGTGCTTTCCCATGTGTTTTCACAGACTATAGCACTATTATCATATTGTATTGGGTTGAAATTGGCTAAGTATATCTGATTTCTTAGCCATTAATAATAAGGAATGTGTCCATTTATCTGTTATCCTTTGTTCCTGATAGAATTTTATATATAAAGCAAATATTTGTTGAATGAAGTTTGGGTCTGAATTGGGGATCAAATCCCTGTACACGAGCATTAGTAAAGGGTTGTTTAAAATATTCAGATCCTCAGGAAACATGGTAGCTGGAAAAAGTCTCTTCTTCTGAATCATTGTATAAAACTTTCAGATCTTTCATGACACTAAGGCAATTTTGCCTAAAATTTTCCAATTCACTAATTAAATAAGAAACACTAACTAACTTAATCAAGTTTTACCTAGCTAGAAACTCCCAGTAGAAGAGATTAAATATATTATAGTCGAAAGGCTGGGAGGTTTTTTTGTTTGTTCTCAATGATATTACCCATTAAATCTTTCTTCTTCTGTCTTCCCTACTTAATAAATGAAGGCCACAGGGAACCAGGTACAGGTAATCAAAGTAGCACACAATGCTCCCTCTCTTTCCTAGCAGTTCTTACTTTAGTACTTTAGAGAAGAAAAGCCTGGGGAATCAGAGGCTGTGAGCAGGTGAGAGAAAAAGTCCTTTTAAGTACTTTGATGTGGCACTAAACTGAAACCAGAGAACTAGTACAAATGTCAGAGTCCAAGAGTCTGAACTCAGTATTTGAAAACAAGATGAGTTAGCAGAAAAGCTTCTAAGCAAAACATATGTGTGTAATTATCAAATACACTTATATTAAATTAATTTGAAAAAAAAATAACAGAAAATGAGAATAGTCACAATTTTTTAATTTTATGTTTCTTCAAAGCTTTTCCTTTGAGTCTCATGTTTAGATATATCTGAAAACTCAATGTGTTAATTGAACATATTGAGTTTATAATACATAAACTTCATAGTCTGAATTCCAATGAAAATTTACAATTACCTTGGGCTTTCATATTCATAAAATGAGACTGTGGCAATATGACCAAAATCATAGGAGCAAGTTTTTAATCAGAAACTAAAACTTTTCTAAAAGTTGAAAATACAAACCTACAATAAAACATAGACTATGAATTTTCAGAAAATTTATATTATTTCATATTAAAATTCAGTCTCATATGAAAAACAAACACATATGAGGATGGAGTTCCTTCTGTACTTGGGGCCAATGTAAACTCTGTCTCCACATACATGATGCTGTAAATATACAGTTCCTATTTATAAACTAATAAAATGGATCAAACAGTATATTTGTAACACTATTTTGTTTTGTTTCATCTTGCCTTGGGCTGTTAGCATTTGAACTCCATTCTTATTAGGTTAAAACTCCCATTCTTCAAGTCCTAGAGGGAGAAAGGGACCCAATTCTTACTCTAAATTCTTCAGTCTTCTTTTTCATAACTTCTTTTTATATCTAAATCAGCTGAAGTTGGAAATTGTGGCTGCAACCACTCTGAAACCCAGTTTGATTAAGTTAGCTAACTTTTCTTTCTTGTTTACAACTTGGGATTTGTAGGTAATCATTTTGTCTGAGATGTCTTTTTAACATTTCTTGAAAGACTAAACAGGAACATGCTAGGTCAAAAGAAAATACTGTACAGAGTTTGGGAGAGATGATCAAGCTTTTGAAAATGCAAAATGCAAGCCATAAAATAAGGTTCAACAGACAAAAGTAGAAAACTCAATCCAAAAAGCCCTCACTTCAAGGCAAATGTTTCTAAACCCTATTCTGAGAATAATTCATAACCAGTGACAATTTTGCCACCCAGGGGATATTAGCAATGGGTGGAGACATACTTAGTCCACCAATCATGGAAGGATGCTACTAGCATTTGCTAGGAAGAGGCCAGGGATGCTGATAAACATCCTACAATGTACAGGTAGTCCTACAACAAAGAATGTTGTGGTCCAAAATGTCAATACTGAGACAGATGATTGAGGAACCTTGTTGTTCACTCTTACCTCACTTTAAATCTCATACAAGGAAATGCCCCCACAGTTAGAATAAGTTTTCACTATCTACAATACTCAAACACTTTTATAATTACTTCTGAAACTTTAATGTTAAAAGAGAAAAATCTTAAAACTTATCTATCAACACCATGATCCACCTAAGAGCTACATGGATGAAAAATAAAAAGAGCAAATAAGACAAAGGATGGAGCATCTTGCAAGAGTTGCAAAGGGCCAGGACTGACTAAAGGAATGAATGACAGGAAATGGAAGATGAAAAGTTATATAAATGGCCAGGAAGGGATGCAGTGTCAGATTTGAAGTATATTATACATCCACAAGAATCTGGATTTTACTTTAAATTACTCTTTTAATGGTGATTTGTTAAGGGAAAATCTTTTAAGTGACTCAGCTATGTTGCTTTCTGGGAAGAAACCTCTGGAATCATGTTAGGTGATGATCTAACATGAACAGAGCCTGTAGCAGGAAAGGTAATTAGGAAACTGCTTCCTACAAGAAGAAGGAGGAATCACCTTAACTATTTTGATGGCAAAGAGGGTGGAGAGCAAAAGATGGAGAATTTAAACATATTCTTGAGATTTGCTAACCCCTCCCTATAAAGTGAGTATCTTTCAGTACTGTTAAATGTAAATTAAAGGGTTAAAAACAGCCTAAATAAGTTCATACCCCTGTATTCATACCCAAGATGCATCAAAAGAAAAACATGGTAACATGTTAATTCCCTTTTAAAACACTATGTAATGAGAGCATGTGCTATTTAAATAATTTCTGTATAATTTCCAATACATACATAGAAAGTTTATGATATTACCTGCTCCAAGACATCTTTATAGCTAATAGTTTCTTTAGTATTTGTAACAGGACTGTCATAGATGATAGCAATCTTATCCCCTTTGCCATTTTCAATATGACGATCAATAGCATTGTAGCAAATGTTAAGCATTCCTTCCACAAACCTAAAAAATAATCAGAAAGTAAAGTGAATGATTCTCTTCAAAATATATTATTATTTAACTCAGTTACTAAGTTTTTCAAAACACAACATGCTGTGCCTGATACTGATGGCTATACAGTATATATTTAAGATGATATGGAATGCACATTTTTATTTTAATAAATATGCATTTATTTTGATGTACATCAGAAAAAAACATACACCTTGCACTTCACACTGAAAACTTTGTGGATTATATTGCTTAGGATGAAATTAGAGTATATAGTACAAATTGAATTATATGTAAGCATAGTGCAGAGAGAAATTATGAAAGGGGAAATGGTAGATGTATGAATGGAGTCTTGGTATCTGCTGAAAATACACAAACTTACTGGAAAATTCAATTCTTCATTGAAAGAACTATATATATTTTTGTTTCAATTACATGTGATGTTTTCCATTTAGTCATGTATAGAATAGATAAGCTGCTTTCTGTATGTGTGAAGTGCTCCATAACTAGAATAAAGCATGAAATGATACTTTTTCAATTCTTTTACAGTCCATTTCCTACATGCTCGACGCCTTCCTTTGAAAACACAGACATCATAGAGATACTTTTTAAAGGAAATATAGCACAGTTTTCCACAAGATAAGACTTTGCATTTGCTTCACTTTCTAAGAGGAGAGAAACTCAATAAAATATGCAAGTATTTTGTGCCAGTAATGATCAATTTTTCTCCCAATGTTGGACTGCCAAACATTATAATAATGCAAAGTAATGGGGGAAAATACTGAAGCAAGAAAAGTCCTGTTAAATTCTAAGTTATCACACTCAGGTCTTCACAAAGAGCCCTGTGTTAAATGAAAACTAAAAGCAGCTATAAGTACAGTGGCAGCAAGAAATAAGAGATATCATCAGCAGCAAGAAGAGGGATCCTTTAATCAAGTCAAATGACCCTATATTCTCCAGTAAGGCTGACTATTACTACAGCATAGCGCAATATGTAGTTAATACAATGATTCTCAATTTTCAAGTGTGATAGATTCAATTTAAAAAAAAGTACTGCTTCTCCTCACCCTATTTCCATCAAAAATATTCTGTACCTTCTCCTAGGTCCTTGCTCCATGAGTGGAGAACAGGTCTTTTAATGCTGGGTTCACCCAGGGACTTGCTTTGGCTAATACAAGGTCAGCTGATGTGAGGCAAGCAGTAGAGCACTTGCCTGATTGGGCTTGCTCTCCTGCACCTCTGCCTTCTCCAGAACAGTATTCCTGGTATCACTCTTGCCTCACAGCCTCCAAAACAACAGATTGGAATAGACATGCAAGAAGGAATGGACCAATCCAACCAGATCTGTCTTGGAGTAGTGCTCCCAGCTATGCCCATCCTACAGTAGATGACTTCACGATAACACACAAGTACATAAAAATAATGGTACAGATTGTGTCCTTACTTGGTGAGCAGAATAATTGTAGCCATAATTAGCTAATACACCAAGAAAAAAGGTCATGCTGTGTCAGAAATAAAATAAAATGTTGAACAAAATTTCCTACAAAAATACATAAAAAATAAAACTTATTTTCTTATTTCTGAAAAGAACATATTACAGACATGTGGACTATTTCCTTGAGAGAGTACTTCTCTTTCTTTTTCTTTCTCTTTAATTCATCTTTGCCCCTTTCTCAGTGGGTCCTGATCCTTCCCAGTTCCGGACATTTGTGTCTGGAAGTTGCCTGGAGCACTTCTTTCAGATACTATTATTTTCTTTTATCTTATGATGAATTCTTTGCTACTGTTTGTGTTCAATATTTAATGAGGCTGATGACATGTTACAAAAATGAGAGCACCTTAGTTTCACAGATTTGTTTCTATCATTTACCTTATTGTTCTCCTACTGCTGCTTGCTCCTTCTCAAAATCTGAGGAATCATCTTCCTTTGCCTCATCTTTAATGGGCTGATCCTACCCATTTCATACACATCCCTTGGCTTTTGCTATGCTTTCTCCCTGGATGAACCTCCTATGGCTACATGTCCCAAACTGTTATCAGTTCACACTACCTCCAACCCTCATCCCCACCTTAACTGCAAACTTCCTGCTGCTCCTATTTTATATATTTGAAGGAACCACATTGCATGCAGTGACCTAAAATAGAAACCCAGAAACCAGATTTGAGCGCTCACCCTTTGTAACAAGTCAGATACATGTGATGCCACTTCTGCCTTTCTTGTCTCTGTAATTGTTTGCTTTTCTCATTAATCACCTCATTGACAATGACACTTCCTAATTCATCTCCCTGCCTCAGACCTGACCCCATTCTTTCAAAACATCTCCGTATGCTACTGTGATGTCTTTTCTCAATGTAAATATTATCATGTCCAGTAATGTTTAAAATCACTTAATATCTTTCCATAAAGTTCAAGATAAAACCTCTGTATCTTTAGATGACAAGCAAAATCCATTCATCTACTCAGCTTCATTTCCCATCACCCAACTTCACACAATCCAGCTATATTGATTTAAAAACTGGTGGGTTCTTAAATTCAGTTAGTGGTCACTTCTGTGTCTGTGCTTCAGCTTTAGCACCACCTCTCCCAAGAAATTCCAAGGACTCTGCACTCATAAGTCTGCCAACATACTTATCTCATTGTATTAAAAATTGGTCCACTTACTTGTATGTTTCCTTCATTACACTGTAATCTACAGAACAGAAGAGACAGTGTCATATAGACCCACAATCTACTATCGCACCTGCCATATATTAGGCACTCAGTAGGTATATGAAGAATGAATGAATGAAAACATGAATAACCTGTTGAGAACAATTGCATTTAGGATCCAGGTAGAGTAATTAGGGAAACTTTATACCATTTTCAAGTCAAGAGAATAGATACTTAAAAGGAATATCACAGATGGCATTTATGTAGGAATTGAGACTGTCATACCTGAAATCTGACTCTTTAGATATCTAGACTGGTGTTCTAGTTTACATCACCATGTTCATTCATCTCTGTATAAATAATGTCATTTTTCTATCCTCAAGTTCACTGATTCATTTCTGTATCAACTCCATTTTGCTGTTGAGCCCATTGACCAAGTTTTTCTTTTTGTTTATTGTACTGTTAAGTTCCAAATTTTCCACTTTGTTATTCTGTATATCTTTATATTTGAATAGCTGAGAATTTCAGTGTCTTTAGTGAGACTTTAAAATTTGTTTTCAGTGTGTACATAATTATTTATTGAACTATTTTTGGATGGCTGCTTTAAAATACTTGTAATAATTCCAGTGTCTGTGTCATTTCAGTTTTGGTATCTATTGGTTGTATTTCTCATTCAAGTTGAGATTTCCCTGGTATTGGTGTAGCAACTGAATTTGGGTTGAATTCTGGACACCATGGGTATTATATTATAAGACTCTGGAGCTTATTTAAAGATCTAACAGAAATTTTCTATTTTGCCAATCCTCCTCTGGCATTGTGCCGGTGCACAGGGAGACACTTCATTTCTACCATGTGCAGGTCTATGTACCAGCTCACATCTAGATCTCCTTGACTACCCTTGGACTGACACGTGTCTTATTACAGATAGATGAGGAGGGGAGGGGTACCTTATTACTGCTCCCCATGTGACCTCTATCTTAGTCATAGGGAACGTTCCAATACCTCCATAAACTTGCCTGAAACCACCAGAGAAGATGCTGATGTGACACCTGGTATAGCCTGACAAGAAGAGACTAGAAGTGTAGTCTGTCTACCGGGGTTTTACTGGTGAGGATGTGGTTGCGGCGGGCACAGTGCTTTCTGTGGGATTTTGCTGGACTAGGTTGGTTATTATCTAAAAGTTTTCTGACCTAGGCTTTCCGCTTATTGACTGTTTTATAAGAGAGAGAAGGTTTTGTAAGGGCTCTTTTTAGTCTGTACCCATTAGTGTTTCTAGGCTGTCAGCTTCTCCAGAAACCATTCTGGGGTATGTAATGTGAAAAAGGAAACCCTGGGAACTCATTGGCATGCCATGCCTCATGTCCCCATTTTCTTCCTTTCAGTTTTCTAATCTGTGCTTCATGTATAATGTCCTAGGATTTTCAGTGTACTCAGAGGATGAATAAGGACAAGTACATTTTCTCCATCTTGTCCTGAAACCAAAAGTCTCTAATTTTTATTGAACCCTTACTCTAGGCCAAAACTACATGCATATAAATCCATTTAATTAAAAATAAAACTTCCCTATGAGATAGGTACTATTAGCAAGGAAATCAATGACAGTAAACTGTTCAAGGCAGGTTGAATAGAACCAAACCCTATACAATTCTACTTTTCTAGATAAAACTCAAAGAACTTAGTTTTTTTCCAAAAACTTGTTCACAACTATTGGATAGCTTAATATTGAAATCATTAACAACTCAAAGTTTTCTCCTTTAAGAAAAGCCTTAAAGAAATTTTTTAAAATAAGTATATAAGGTTACCACATGAAGCAGAGGGAAGGAAGTACAATCAGGGAAAGGCCTGCAAGTAATACTCAGCAGAACCATTGTAGGAGCTAACAAACTGGCAAGACCCCGAGGTGCTTACAGCTGAGGAATACTCCAGTACAAATTGGCTAAGCATAGAGATGGTCATACTCTGAATGACCGGATCAAGTGAACTGCAAGGAGCCTTTCAGTTCAAAGATTGGATTATTCTACTATGACAAGATTCTTATTTCATTTTAAGTCAAATCATTTCAGTAAAGGTCAATCAAATGCCTTCTATGTGCTCTCTTTTTCTCTCCACAGTCTAAATCTAAATCTGTGGACTGGTTACAAATGGTTTGTCTACTCAGTTTATAAAAATAACTAAAGCTCACTATTTTAAAAAGCCAAGAAAATATACTTTAGATTATTTCACTGAATTCTTTTTATGTATAAATATTACTCATTATTCTTTTTATGTATAAATACTACTCATTATTTTGATAATTTGATATTTTGCCTTTATATTTAGGATTGTACTGTGAGTTTTTCCCAAAGGCCTGACAATATTTCAA